TTTTTAATTAAATTTTTAAATTTTTCAATATTTAGGTGGAATGGAATTTATAAAACACGATTTTAAATTTTCTCCAACATCTAGGCAGGGTTTCCAAGATCTTTTTTTTAAAAAAAAAACAATTTAGCTTCTAAAACCTTTTTTTCTAAAAAATAATATCTTTAAACCAAAATTATCCTTTTTTAAATAATAATAATAATAATATCATAATACAAGACACCCATAATCTCATTTTTATAATTACGATTTCTCTATGGTCATGCATGCAAAAGAGAAATAAATATATATAGAGACATTATAAAATGATCAAGGCCAAGAAATTATACACAACAAGATTTTGTTGTTGAAATCCAAAACTCATAATCAACTAAGCCCAATGAATGGAGCTACTGGGCTAGAACCATATGGTTTGGGTTGGATCCACCAAAAGCGGGTTGGGCTGTTAAGTTGGGTCGATCTTTGGATTGGTGGGTCATAGGTGAGTCGGTTCGGGTTGATTAGATTTTTTTTTTTACATTTTATAAAAGCTTAATTTTTTTTTACTCATTTCTTTCTTTCCTCTAAGAAAAAAATCTCCAACTCTTAAAAAAAACCAGACATTGCCTCTTTTAAGAACCTAGTTTTCGATGTCAATTGCCACCATTTTCGCTGGTTACCATTGCTGTCTGATGTCGTCTTCCCTGTTTTTTTTATTCTTTTTTTCTTCTTATTTCCTCTCTTCTTTTTTTTTTCTCGTTGAAAGGTTCCAGTCACTGGTTACCATCGTCGACTCCTCCCTTCCTTTTTTTTTTTTTGTTGGTCGAATTGAAGCCATCTCTTTCCCTTCTTTTTTTTTTTTGAATGGTTCCTCATTGTGATGTTATTTTTTGGTGTGATTTACGGCTTTTGATTTTAGGTATATGTTTGGCTGAATAAAAGGGTTATTGGCTAGATTTTTTTTTTTTATTTTGTATGTATAGTGGCTTGACTGATTTATTTTTATTTCTTTGTTGTGGCTTTTGTGGAGAGAAGAACTATGGCAGTGGGTGTTTTTTAAGATGGTTGGATGTTGGTTTTGGGATTTTACTGGGTGCTTTGAAAGAGGGCTAATGGCTTTGGTGATTTTTGCTGGGTGTTGATGTTGTGTACATGTACAGTGGTGTCCAAATGGTGTTGAGATTGGTAGGCTTAGGAGTTTTGCATGGGTGTTGAGAGCGTTGGGTTCAAACTGTAGAATGCCGAATGAGATTTTCAGTCTCATTTTTATGTTTTTACTGGTAATTTCGATCAGAATGAGTTCTATGATAATTGGTGGTTTGCTGTTAGTTTCGAGTGAAGTAGGATGCAAAGATTGTGGGTTAAAGGGGCCAAATGGTCTTCTGGTATTTGGGGCTGTGATTTTGACGATTGGAGACTTTGGTGGTGTTTTAGGTTTTGTGGAATAGTTTTGATAGTGGTGATGATCGGTTTGATAAAATGATGGTCATTGATAAAAACTGAGTAAAAGGGCTCTCATTTTTCATGAATGGCCAAATGGTTTTCTCTTTTTTTTTTTTTATTCTCTGTAAATTGGCTTTTTCCTTATAAAACCCAACTCTCCCTTGAAAGGTCTATTTGGAATTAGCTTTTTGGATTGGTGTGGTAGACGTGTGGCAATGGTTGCAGATGAAGCATGCTGCTCTGTAGTTAGGTCAATGAACTTTGTTGAATCTAGGGTGTTGAAACCCTTTGATCAATCATGTTTAGAGGAAAAATCAAGCTAAAAATAAGGTAAAAAAAGAAAGCTAAAAACAAAATTATCAATAAAGAAAGTAAAGTAAGACTCCCAAATGACTGACCAAGCCTTAGGTTTTTTTTTTTGTTATTTATCAATTTATAATAAATAATTAAATTTAAAAATATATAGATAAATAGAATTGGGCTTTAAAATCAAATGTTAGATTTTTAAATTGTGGGTTCTAAAATTTGAAATTGGACTTTGGGCTTTTAAGCCTATATGACTTAATCTCAAATAAACTTAAATTAAATTAAATCGGGCCTTGGACCATGTGAAAACGATTAGAAAATGAGTAATCCGAATTAAAATCTGGACGAGTCCAATTAGAATACCTAAACTAATTCAAATCAAAACATTCAAATTAAACATAAAAATTGATGATCTCAAATTATTTCAGATAAAATTAAGTATCTACATGATGCATGCGTAGAGTTTTTCTTGGAGTTTTTTTCCTTGTCAAGTTGCAAATACACTCTTCCCAAGGAACTAAAAAATTAGCCTGATAGTGATCCAACTTTTCTGAAAATAGTGTGTAACAAACTAGAGATGTCCCAAATTAGGCAATTGAAAAAAAAAAATTGTAAATTGTAGAATGTATTAGCGAACTATATCTATATATATATATTATTTATTTTTATTTATCCTTGGACAAATTCAAAGTGGTAGTTCAACATCTAGACTTCTATTTTTCTTAGTAAATTTGATAGACTCGTAGTATCATACACATTTCCGTGTTTAAAAGTAAACAGATGAACTTAACTAATGAGCTTAATTTGCAGAAAAGGTTATGTTAGATGATCTGAAATCCAAAAAAAGAGGATGGATATGATAATGACAGTTTATATTATAAATAATGCAAAATTTAAGAGTAAGAATCTTGTGTATCTTATTTCTTTTGTTGTAATTCACTATTTTTGGACTATTATTTATCATTTTTTATGCTGAATATGAAGTGAGTTTAGAGAACTAATTAAATTTTTCTAGTGAAGATAATTATGATTATCAGAAATAATAACGGATGAAATTGGATTCAGTTTAGTTAATTATTTTGATTAATATTGTATAATATTTTAAAATTTTAATAATTGATTCAAATTTAAATGCAAACTTCTTTTAAAATCGAATTGATTTAAATTAAATATTATGTGTTTTATTTAGTTTTGATCATTGGTTCTTGAATTTTTTAAAAAAATTTGTTATTATTTTTATATTATTTTAAACATATTTAAATAAATTTAGATATAAAATAATTATTTTTATTTTATAAAAATTTAAAATTTATATAAAAAGTAATAAAAATTATATATTCAATTTGATTCAAATATTTTTTATTTTTTTTACTTCATAACCTAAAAATCAATCCAAACCAAATAAAAAAATCAATTCAAACTCAATCAACTACTATAATTTTAAATTTGGTATTCCAAATATTTTTCCCTAGCCTAATGATTATTATCCGAAAAAGTTTTAGTTGGCACTCTTTCAAAAGACTGCCAGTTACTTGCCAATCCGCAACTCAACCAGCTATAATTATCAATTGACAAGAGAGTTAATTGCCTTGTTGATTATGCAAAACTTTAGTTTGAAGCATTGGTTTCATGTCAAATTTCTATTTTGCACTTAAACCACGCGTTGAATGACAGCATATTTATTGCTTAAGAAATACATTTTATAGGATATATATATATATATATATATGTATGTGTATATCATACATATATAATATATTTTAATAATAGCTTTTAATTTCAAATTATTAGAAAAAACATGTTTTTAAAAAGAGACATCTATTAACAATGAAAATTTTAAAACAAAGTTAGCAAAACGATACATATTTTTTAGGTTATAATAAAAATAAAATAAAAAGAGATGTGATAACATTTTAATTATGTTTGTGAAGTTAAAATATTTCATTATCAATATATCAAAATGAATATTTATCTTAATATATAGCTAGCTAAAAAAAATGGAAGAAATTTAATTCAACATATTTGTTTAATTAAGTATATATTACCATAGACAGAAGAAATAAAAAATAATGCAGGTTCTTGAAGGCTTTATGTGAAAAAAGAAAGAAAAACCATAAATGTTTTTTTTTTTTGTTTGAGATTTTTTGGTGTTTGGTAACCACTTTGAGCCTCGATTAATTTAGAGTCTAGTCAAGTCGGACCCAAAAAGAGGGTAAGCTCTACTAAACTTATTTTTTTCTATTTACAAAACTCAAAATCGAGATCTTATTTAAAGAGAATTGAACTTTCTATTATTTGGACCAAAAGGTGTTGGTTAAATGTTTATATTTTAAGCATTATGGTTGCATATTGGAGATGAACAAGTGAATAATTATTTTGTCTTATATTTGTCATATCTGATTCAGCAAAAATTGACCTTTAATTTCAATTATAATTTTGTTTTTTCAAAAAGATAAGTATAATACTCAGTCGTTTTTGTCATCTTTCGTCATTTTATCATTGAACCAATCATATTTCTTTAATTAATTGAAGGATAACCTACATAAAATTTTATACTCAATTTAGTAATTAAGATTTAAAAGTAATCAATTAAATAATTTTGTCAAAATTGATAGTTTAAGTAAGGTTAGGAAAAAATTCGAGAATGCAAGTAATCTATTTTAAAATCATAAAAATTAACAATTTGTGTTTGAAAACAACTCAAGTGATGAATGCATACCCTTTGTTAGTATAATAAAATTATATATAAAAGAAATCAGAGTTTTAACAACAGGAGGTTTTTTTAGTTTGCATGTTTGACCGAAATTAAAGCTTTTTAATTATATATAAAAAATTCTTGCATGCTTTGGAGGCTAAGTCCAAGCTTCCAGCTATATATATAACTGGTTTTTATTTTAGTATGATAAACCTTAATGATTTCCTCTTAATGTTTAATTCACGAAAAAATTGAAGTTTGAATAATTATTTTAAAATTTTAATGTTATTATATATTTTTATTTATCATATTAATCTATTACTTATTTTATATTATAATAAAATATATGATATAAATTTCTTCATATTTTATTCATAAAATTTAAAATTTTCACTTTCATGAAGTATATGTCACAAATTTTTTTGGTGGAATAGAGAAAATATGGGAACCCTAAAGCTTAAAGGGAGGTAGGCAAAGCTTTCGAAGGGTAAAAGCAAAGCCATTCTATATGTAGTAGGCCAGATTTACGTAGAAGCAACTCTCTCGAATTTTTTCTGCAGTTGTTTTTGAAAATTCTCTCTATAAATACACCTCAAACTTTGCTACAAAAGAATCATCCAAAAGAACCTCATTTTCAAGGCAAAATCAAGTAAACTTTTCGCTTTCCAAAATGGCTAACTCCTCCACGTCTTCCTCATCAACTTCCATCTCAGACAAAACATTGGCAGGTTTGGGAAGCCTCATCAAACTCCTCCCAACAGGAACTGTCTTCGTATTCCAGTTCCTTAACCCTGTTTTAACCAACAACGGCGATTGCAGCCCTGTCAACAAGGTCTTCACCAGCATCCTCATTGGTCTTTGTGGGTTATCTTGTGTTTTCGCTTGCTTTACAGATAGCTACAAAGGCAGTGATGGGTTAGTTCATTATGGTATAGCCACAGTTAGTGGTCTTTGGACGTCTTCGGGTTCGGGTTCGGTTAACTCGTCGAGCTACAAGCTGAGGATTAGTGATTTTGTCCATGCATTTTTTTCTGTGATTGTGTTTGCTGTGTTGTCTCTGTTGGATTCTAACACTGTAAAATGTTTTTATCCATCTTTTGAGTCCACTGAGAAGGCTGTGCTCATGAGTTTGCCTCCTGTTATTGGTGCAGTTTCCGGGGCAATTTTCATGTTATTCCCTAACACCCGCCATGGGATAGGCTACCCTTCAAGTTCAAGTGATTCCTCGAACTCTAAATAACTCTAATTCGGACAACTTTAAGTTTGCTTTGTCGGATAAATTAATTGATTAAGGATTGCTACATAAACTTTGTAATTTTTTTTTGTTTGGGTCAAATGTTTGTTTGATTAGATATTGAAAAAGAAGGGAAAGGATGTCAGATGCATGCCATCGCCCTTGAAATATAGTATGTACTAGCTAGGTTTGCTGTATTATGATTCTATATCAATTTATGCGATAATTAATGATATTTTTCCTTAGTTTATATTAAAATTTATGTGCTAATTAATAAATTGTTTTTTTTCCTTTTTTTTTTGTTTTTATTCAATTTTAATCCATTTGAAATGGGTAAGAAAAATAGTTTAATGAATTGGGATTTAATTTAAATGATTCATCTATCTCTCTTAAGAGATGAATTTCTGCAAAGTTGAGACTTGATTCTTAATGTTTATAAATTTTCTTTATCTCATTATTGCCTAGCTATAATCTTTGATCGCTTTTGCAAAAAAAAAAAAAAAGTTCAATGATACTTGACATATAACATCTTAACTTTGAAACAAATTTTAAATTGAAATTTTCATCATCAACTTAATTATTTATGAAATTTTTTTTCATGAGTTGATGATGAAACGATGACTTACCTTAATATGCTATATGCCATTAATTTTTTTAAGAAATTGCAATCATAATCATATTCAATTATTACATCATAATCAAATTATAATTATCGAATAATTAACTAATAAATTAAAACATAACTAAACAACTAAATACACACAGTAAAATTAAAATTTAAAATTTTAAGGTTTTAAGACATCCTCCTTGTCATTAAGCTAATGTTTTATTCGTTATATGTTTCTGTAGGATTTTGTCATCCTAATCTTGACGAGGTTTAACATATTCACGAAATTCCAAATTCTTAAATATTTCTATTGGATAAATTTAATTTCTGTTTGAATTTTGTGAATATGTTAAACCTGGTCAGGATTCTACAGTGACTTTGATCCGAGTCTATTGAATCAAAACTCTATGATTTACAGGCGAAATGTAGATTTTTTTTAACATTAAAAAGCCAAATGCATATTTTTTTTTGAATTTCATAGCTTTGGCCTTCTGTTATTTGTCTTACCGACAACTTATATTTGGGTAATTTGCAATTAGAAAATACAAAGTTAAAGGTCTGCAATTTGAGCAGCAACTTCATATTTGTTTTTCCCAATCCATACAAAGAGAATTAAATTGATTGGTTAACATTTTGTTCCAAACTTGTTTACGTAGACCATGCAATTGAAATTCAGTATAAGTTACACTTAAATTCAACACCAAACAATCAAACAGGAGAAAACAAAAAGTAGAGTAGAAAACAAAACATTGACTAAAAAATAAGAACTTGTCAAATAGGAAATTAAATGGCCAAAGGTAATTTCTAAGGAGAATAATCCATGCAGTAAACAGCAGGTTCAAGTCTATAGCATTTCTTAGAGTTAAATGCATTAATCCTCAGTAATTTTTGTGTAATATTTTATTTTTAGTTGTGTTTTTTAAAATTTAATGTCAAATATATAGCCTTTTAAAAACGTTTTAAATCCATCGTTTTCATTAATTATGTTAAAAATTCAACAAAATATGCTACTTCGTGTGAAAATAAAAATCATGTTTTTCTGGAGCAATTTACTTGCATTTTTTTTTAACATAAGTGTGAAGCAGCCTTTTGTTAATTTCAACAGGCAAAGGTTAGGAGAGAATCTAATCAGATTGAATAGGAATATGTTAATTCATGTGAAAATAAAAATCATGTTTTTGGGGTGCAATTTACTTGCATTTTTTTTAATGTACGTGTGCAGCAGCCTTTAGTTGATTTCAACAGGCGAAGGTTAGGAGAGACTCTAAACAGATTGAATGGGGGCATTAGACTGGTAGTTAATTCAATAACATATGTAAATTCATGTGAAAATAAAAATCATGTTTTTGTGGTGCAAATTACTTGCATTTTTTTTTAATGTAAGTGTGAGCAGCCTTTTGTTAGTTTCAACAGGCAAATGTTAGGAAAGAATCTAATCAGATTGAATGGGAGCATTAGACTGGTAGCTAAACATCCCCATTAGTTTGATTTCAATTTCATGTATTGTAATTATATATATGGTTTCCTTCTATTTCCTTTCTTGTATCATATATCGCTTTCTAGGAACTACTTTTCCCCCGAATTAGAGGTCTTAAGACGCATTTATAATTTGATGTCGAAGTAATACCAATCTGTTCTTATCTTTTGCTAATATTAATATTACTTGAAACTTGACAATTTCTTGGAAAAATCTGCATCTAGACGATAACGGGCAATTGTTAGACTTTTGTCTCAGTGACAGGTTCATGATCTTTTACGCAAAGAGTAGGTTTTAAACATTTTTTTTTCCCTCTAAATCTTAAAATATAAAATAAAATAAAGATGATATCAGACAACTTAGGTTTCATTTGGTACAATATTTGTTATTTGTCTTTTGTTTTCTATTCAAAATTTGTTTTTTTTTTTCTTTCGATTCATTTTTACAAAATAAAATAAAATAAAAAGCATTTATCTAACAATAAATAACCTTAATTAGCTGCGGATTCTTTTTGAAAGGCCTCGGTTAATTGTTGATTATGCAGACGAGGTGGGCTTACTTCATCAAATTGAAGTTCAACAAGCAATCCTTTGCATTAAAAATAGTTGGATTTTTGGCACTAAACAATTAATTAAATAATTTTTGTAGGTCACTGACACGTTCAACAAAAGCAAATGTCATAGCTAGAGATTTAAAGCCAATTACATCCTTGATTTATCTGACAAGAAATGAGAAAAGAATGTAAAAATATTAGTTTTTTTGGTTACGTGATCAGTTGTGTTAGTGACTTGTGCAAATTGCTCATTTTGATCGGTTGGTTTTTTTCTCACATGTTGAATTGAGACCATTTGAGTGCAAAAAATTCAATATTCTTCATGAATGCTTTGAAAACAATTTGTTATCCTAGTGTTGAAGCTACAGGAAATAAGTTTTGAACAGTATTTTTTAATACAGTTTATAATTATTATTAAAAGATTCGTGATATTTGCTAAAAATGTTTCTAAAAACATCGATTATATTAACGTAAAAAAAGTGATAGTTTAAGAAAAAACTTTGTTAATTTAATGAAACTTATTTACACAAACATTACTAAATTTAGTGATATTTGAATTTGAAAATATTACTAAATTTAATAGCATTTGTATACAAACACCATTAAATTATATAAATTAGTGATGTTTGTAGTGAAAAATGTCACTAAATTTAATAGTTTTTTTTTTATACAAACGTTATTAATTTTTGTAAATTAATTTACAAATGTTGTTTAATTAAAAAATTTATTTTTTAATTTCTTTCAATATTTATTACTATAAAAAAATTTTGAGATTGTTAACAAATAGAAAATAAATCGTTAACAAAAAATTGAGATTCTTTTCTTTTTCCCTGAGAAAATTTCAGATTTAAGCTCAACGCAAAATGTTAGGTTTCTAGCTATTATCCTCCCATCATTTGTCCCTGTACGCATCTCTTTAAATATCTCATTGAATTTTATGTGAGAGGCAATCCTTTGTGTATTCTTTATCCAATCCTTTCAGTTACTCATATTTCCCCTATAAAAACAGACAAGAGCAAGCTCATATGACATTGCAAATCCTGAAAAACTTCATAGTTCTTCAAAGCAAAACAGGCCAACATGGCATTTGATTTAATCTCAAAATTGGGCAACCTCATCAGGTTCCTTCCGACAGGAACTGTCTTTGTTTTCCAATTCCTAAACCCTGTTTTCACTGACTATGGCAACTGCAAATCACTTAACAAGTATTTGTCCAGCATTCTCATTGCCCTCTGCGGCTTCTCTTGCTGTTTCGGTTGCTTCACTGACAGTTACAAAGGCAGTGATGGCAAAACTCACTATGGGATAGCAACTTTTAAGGGTCTTTGGCCGTCTGTCGAGTCAGATTCAGTGAACTTGTCGAGATATAAGATTCGTTTTAGCGACTTCATCCATGCTTTTTTTTCATTAATTGTGTTTGCTGTCTTAGTCCTGGTTGAACCTAACACTGTGCAGTGTTTTTATCCATCTTTAGCAACAAGTTCCAAGGCTTTACTCTACCTGATTTTGCTGCCTCCGATTACGTTTATAGTTTCCTTGGCCTTCATGTTTTTCCCCAACAAGCGCCATGGCATTGGGTATCCTTCGAGTCAACAATCTTCAAATAAGACCAATCTGCTTCTTCCATAAACAAGTTTCTTGATCCTTGACCTTTTATTACGGTTCCATTCTAGTCTCTAATCTCTGAATCATTCCATTTGCGTCCTTAACTTTTGAAATTCCATTTTGATCTTTCATCAGATCGTTCCATTAAAATGAACGTATTGTTCATGTAGTGGATTACATGAAAAGACTAAAATGAAATTACTTTAAAAGATAAAAGATCCAAATGGAACAATTTCAGAGGTTAGAGACTAAAGTGAAATTAGAATAAATAATTCAAGATCACGGATGACATTTATCCGATTAGATTAAAAAAAAAGTTTGTAATGTTAATCAAGTTTTGTACTCCAGAGTTTGTGCATTTAATTTAAGAAGAAATTAATGGAAGGATGGATGTGCCTGCCAGTATCATCCTCTTGAATTAGTATGTATGTTTTACTACAATGGTGGAGTCTGAGTTAATGGTGTCTTTCTTTTTATGGTTAATAATTTATTTCAATTGCAAAATGGCAAATAAAAGGGTTTACTCTATGTAGTTATATGTTTATGATTTAGTTTGATTTTTCTTTGATTGGATCATATGATGGAACTGAATTTCAATTACTATTCCTTTACCAAAAGATAAATTTAAAATTGGTGTGGACTTTGATAACTTGTAAAAAGAAGCATTTAGTTTAAAATTTTAAAATTTCAAGTTAATATTCAAGAGTAAATTTAATCTAATTTTTAATCTAGTTACATGTTGAATATCTTATATTTAAATTTTTTTTTAATTCTTGACAACTAAAATAATCATTCATATTATAGACATCGATTTTGTTTGGGTCTACTGTCTTCATTTTCAGTTTAATATTAATAATAATTTTAATAATAATAATAATAATAATAATAAAATTAAAAAAAGAAGAAGAAGAGAAAGGCAAAAAAAAAAAAAAGGGCTGGAAAATGGTGGCGCCGTCAACCCTAGCAACCCCATTTAGCTACCAGACTAGTCCCATCAAACCAACCATGCTTATGACCTTCGTCACCCCTACAACCACGCTCTACAAACACCTACAGTCACACCTATAGACTCTTAGACCACCTTCCCGAACATACGTCCGATTCTATAAAGACCCTAGCTTCTTTCCTTTTCAAAGAAGGATCCATTTACAAAAAAAAACCTCAGCTCATTTCGTAAAAAAAAAACCTCTCAGACACAAAGAAGCTAAAAACGCAAACAACCCAACACCAAAATAGAAAAACATAATCCCAAAAAAAAAAAAAAACCCTGGTAACGGGGATCTCAATGCCAAAAAACACAAAAGAAATTTTTTTTTCATTTTAACCAAAATTTTAGACCTTGATCTACATTGTTTGAAGCTGTTTCTCACAAAACGAAGATTGGATTTGAGTTCACGGGGTTGAAAATAATTTTTTAGGTATTTTTTGAAATTTTTTTGACACACTTACCGGTAACCGACGATGGCACCGGTGACCGACGATGGCATCCGGTGGTAACTGGATCGTCGAAAACTGCGAAGGAGAAAGAAGAAGAATTTTGGAAGAGAGAGAAAAAAAGAAGAGAGAAGGAGAAGAAAGGAAAAATGAAGGAGAATGGGTGTTTTGGGGGATTATTTATAGTGAAATCAAAACGACGTCGTTTTGATTAAGTGGTAGCCAAGCCACCAAGCCGGGCCATATACCCAAAGCCAAGCCGATTAAGCCATTGACTATAGGTCCAAGCCGGTTGACCGAGCCGTTTAAGCAGCCTTTGAATTTTGACTGTGTTGACAAGGGGCATTTTAGGTATTTTCTTCATAACTTTTTATTTCTTTTATTTTTTTTGCTCAAAATTTATATATATATCTATTATTTAATTAATGATTTTTTTGTTATTTTTATTTTATTTTTGTATAAACTTTTCATATAAAATAAAATAAATGATAGAAAATATAAAATAGTTTTAATTTAATTAATTTAAAATAATTACTAAACATAAACTTATCAAAATTTTAATGAACTAGAATAAAGAAAAATATACAATAATTGATAAAAATTAATTAATAAAAAAGTAATAAAAAATGTAAGAAAAGGAAATTTTATTCAATGATGAGATTTAAAGGTATTTCGAATAGTGATGCCTACGAAATCTCTAGGTGAGAAGATTTTTTTTTAAATACTACCAGTGTATTGGAGTATTTATAAAAAAAAATTTTCAATACAATAAAATTTTCTTTTTTTTTGATAAAAAATAAAATTAATTAATTTATTAAAATAATAATATAAATAAGGAAAAATGAAATTTTATCCAATGACGGGATTACAAAAGTATTCCGAGTAGAGATGCTTTACGAAATCCCTAGGTGAGAAGTTTTTTTAAAATATTACCAGTGTATTAGAATATTTATAGAAAACTTCAATACAATAAAAAAATTTTTTTCTCTAAAATTAAAAATAAAAAAATAATAAAACAATTAATAAAATTTTTGAAAAAAGAAAATAAAATGTGTGCATCAATATGTTATTATTTGCATTGCATACATGACATAATTTTTTATGAAAAGTAAATTTGAATATCCAAAGATGAGATTCTAAAGTATTCCGAGAAATGATGCTTAAGAAAATCTCTATGTAAGAAAGAGTTCTTCTAATGTTACCAACGTACTGGAACATTTTAAGAATAATTTCAATAAAAAGGTTCTAATTTATTTTTCTCGAATAATATTTGAATATAAAAAACAATAAATAATAAACAAAAGAAATTAAAGAAAATTATTTTTCAAACACCGAAAATAAGATTTTTTTTATCAAAATCAAAGGATAACATGTAGTTAATTGGTACCGTTTTAAATGAGTGCTGTGGGGGTGCTAATCCTTCCCCATACGTAACTGACTTCCGAACTCAGACTGTTGTGCAGACCCTAAAATAATCTTTTTAATAAATTTTAATTAATTTTAAGATTTCATTAAAAGGATATGTTTTAATAGGTGGCCAATCGCACCTAGCCATAAAAAGATTGGTGGCGACTCCGTTATTTTTTTATTTCGTTTTCAAATTCGTTGGGTGGACACAAAACCGTTATGACAGCTTGGCGACTCCACTGGGGATAGCCATTTGTTTTTAAGAGTCAGGCAAAAAATAACTACGTGTTATCCTCAAATTTTGATTTAAACAGTCCTAATTGATTTCTTAGATTTTTATTTTTCATTTTCAACAAAAAAAAATCAAAAAACAAAAAAGTTCACACACATTTCTTTTACTATGCCTTTTTTTTACTTTATTTTTTTGTATATATTACCTTCAATAAATTTGGATACATTTGCACATACAATGACACGTTGCATCTCATACATAAGCTCTATACCCGGGCTCTATCCCTTGTAAGAGGAAGTAAAGTACCCATGCCCTCGTGAGGTGATAACTTCCGCAATGGCAAGTGAAATACTTCCATTCAAATTGAACCCTTTTCGTTCATAACCTGTAATGGGTGAGGATCGGGGTCCCTTACTAGTCTAGCATAGATGACAGTGAGAAATAATTTAGGAACCTTTGGACACGTGTCAATCTAAACCCAGCATGTAATAAGCCTAGAAAACCAATCTTAGGTACAACCTTGTCTACGTTCTTGTAGGAAATACCTAAGAATAAAAATTGTGTGTAATACAAAACAAAACAAAAAAATCTTAAAACAAATTATTTTCAAACCTCATCCTCACACTAACTCAATTTTATTTTTTTTGTTTTTACATAAATCATATCATTCAGTTCTGCATTGAGATATTTGCTCTAGGACATATTTCTCCTCAAGAAGTTTTCATGGATCCCGTAGAACTTCAGATTTGCTCATCCTCAGTCAGTGTCCCATGTGAGCCGTATAATGAAGTATATGTTTGGTCAAAAGAAGCCCAACAAAATAATGAAGATTGCTTGCCTATTGACTATGTGTCAAAGTTGCCCGAGAAGGTGCATTTGGATCTCACACAGAATGATTTAGAAGATTTAGCTACTATCTGAGGATAATTAAATAAAGAAAGAAAAGAAAGCTTTTGTAAGAAGTATGGGTAGATTGCATCCCTCATTTTAGTAGTGATCGATAAGCAATTGATAAGGGCAGTTATACAATTTTAAGATCCATCCTATAAATGCTTCACATTTAATCGAAAAGATTTGATGCCAACTATTGAAGAGTATTTGATTTTACTCGGGATAAAGTTACAGTGTCCAGATAAAGTATTCACTCAAAAGCTAAAATCAGGTTATCGTAAAAAGTTAGCCAAGCTTATAGGGGTTAAAGTGAAAACTATTGATTCTTTTGCGAAGCCTAAAGGTGAATATCTCGGTATTCATTGTGACTTTCTCTGAAACTTTATTTAGGAGTACTTAAATGATGACAAAGGCATGGCTATGTTTGCTTTATCATTGTATGGTATGGTAATCTTTCCAAAGACTTTGGGTTACATTAAGATAACTGTGGTAGATTTTTTCGAGCAAATTGAAACCCAAATAATTAATCCCGCACCAGCAGTCTTAATAGAAATCATTCGATCATTGAATTTCTGTCGATGAAATGGAAAGGGACGGTTCATAGGATGTGCACCTCTATTATATGTGTAGGTTAGAAGTTATTTTAAATATAAAAAGAGTGCATTTTCAAAGCCATATCTACGAAACAAATCACCAATAGAAGAGTTCTGCAAGAGTCAATGGCCAACATTGAAAATTAAGAAAGAATGAGTCTTTTTCTTATGAAAGATTACCGATGATGAAATTCAATGGAGGCACCTTGGATGCCTCGAGTGCCTTTGTTGTATCATGAAGAAAATGAGCCATGGATACCGTTGTTAGGATTATGGGGTATTGTAAGTTACACTCCGTTGATGGTGCTTAGGCAATTTGGTGCAAAACAATTTGTTCTTGCCACTCATGGCTTAGCCAAAGTAGAGTTCATTTATGGAGAATTAAATTCACTAAAAAACTCAAAGCAGTTAATCCAAGCATGGAAGAAAACATGAAGAATGAGATTAGGGCCTCTCATCGATAAAGTCACTCATGATTACCAGATTTAGAAAGCAAGATGACCTAGAGACATAGTACTCTCTCCTGATGATAGCTCACACCAATCAGTTAATCTTTCAACAGTAGTTCAATTATCAAAAGTTGAGCTTGTGAATAAAAAATTAGAAACTAAAAAAAAGAAATGAAAAGAGAAAATTTGAGACTTTGTGAGAAGGTGAGACAACTAAAGTGTGAAGCAGAGATACAAAGGAGTAGATTAGAAAAAACCATAAAAGAACTTGATGTAGCTAATAGTGATTTGAAAGATCTACACTAGGAAAATAAGAGATTACGAATCTAATTCAAAACTAAAAAAATCATTAAGTCTTACCTTAGTCAGTAACATGAAGTGGATGAGCTCCAACAAGAAATAAACCAATGAAAAGGCAAAGTTCAAGAAAAGTAAGAGGAGACCACTAGAATTTCTCAAGAATGCCAGAATTGGAAGCCGTTTTACTCTACAA